AGTCGAGCCAGAAGGAAAATTTTATCATTACAAGATAATGTCAAAAGTAAAAACGCGTGGACAGACCGTACACTTATCAGAGGATTTGGAATGGATATAAAGAATGAAAAACTCTACATCCATTCAGTTAAATAGGTCTCAAGATAACATGCTCCAGATTTCAAAATAATTGCAAAACTGTGCAAATACACAAAATTTACAAAGAAAATTTCTAGTGCTTCTAATGTTTGGACTAACCGAAACTACTGATATAATAGGTTGTGAGCTGGAAGATCCTGCATTCTGTGAACATCTTCTAAAGACAATTCTCTTTCTAGTTGTGTCCTTGTTGCTTGTAGAACCTCCTAAGAAAATGAGATGAATTTGAGATGAAAAGCCGATTATTAACATCTCATACAGAACACATGGCCGCATCAAAAGTAGCTACTACATACAGTAACAGATTTCCTTTAGGGTCCGTCCATTTTCAGACCTATTTGAGTAAAACAATTAATAATTGAGTTGAAATAAGAGTAAATTTCTTAGCCAAAATTCATGGTGATTGGCAATCAAACAGAGATTTTCTACCAAAAGTGTAAATTTTAGTATCATTTGGTTGTTTGGAAACTGTAGGAAAGCAAGTCGATAAAAACATCACCATGAAGATTTATATTTAATTTCCTTGAAGCAGAAAATATATCACGTTTTGGTGAATCTTTCGGCAAGAATTCATCATCACAACTTTCTGATTTGTCATAATCTACATGTTTCAGCGTGAGAAGGAGAGAGAGATACAAGCACATCACACAGAGACACACGGAGAGAGGGAGAGAAAGAAAGTACATTGAACTCCATATATGACGCATGCATGGCAAGCCACTGAGCATCCAACATTGCAAATGCTATACAGTACAAGACATCAAATGCATCTTCATCTTCTGCAGTTGAACGAGTTCTCTTTCAGTAACAGGATAGGTACGTTCAGAGGAAAAAAGGAAGTAACATAATAAACATTGAGTACTTACCCTCCAATATTTTAACAAAATTAAGGCCTGGAAGACATTTAGGTTTTGCTGGAAAAGAAAAAAAAACTATCAGATCAATATTTTAGCTCTTAGTTTCCATTCCATATGGATAATATTGAAGAATAGAGAGTTCAAAACGATAGCATTGTTGATATTTAAGAGGAAAAAGAAGGGGTGGGGTGGGGGACGTAGCTCTGACCCTTCTCACTGTAATGGGATTAAACCCAAATTCTTACATTCAAGAGCAATAGTAACAGAAACCAACAAGCAAATTACTCATATTTATAGGTGTTCATTCCCCGCTGCAGGTTTTCAGAGAAAAATCAGTTTTCCATACTTCTCTTGCATACTTTTTTTTTTTTTTGAAAGGCAATCAATATTTTATTAATCAATACATCATACACTTATCAATTTAAATCAGAAAGTAACAATATGAAATTAGGTAGTCCGTTTATATGCCTAATAGCCGCAGCATTAAATCAAGGATACAATGTCAAATAAAACAATTCCATTATCTGCTTTGTTGTCCATGATTGGCATTCAAAATAGCAACTGTTTCTTTTTCTCCACACACCAGACGATACAACCCGGAATAAGGTCCCATACAAGTTTGCTATCCTTATCTCGAAATTTTCTCGTCCATGCCTTTAACATGTCCTCCATACGCATCGACAACGCTCAATTCATGTGTTGCGACATCAAAATATCATTCCACAATAAACGAGCAGCATCAC